AAAGCCCGGCAGACTCGGCTCCTCGAAACAGAGGCCGACCTGCGGCGGACTCCTGGGCTTTGTGAGAGGGTTTAGGGCTCTAGGAGTTTAGGGTTTAGGGTTTAGGGTTTAGGGTTTAGGTTCTAGGCTTTAGGGTTTAGGGTTCAGGGTTTAGGGTTTAGGGTGTAGGGTTTAGGGTTTAGGGTTTAGGGTTTAGGGTTTAGGGTTTAGGGTTTAGGGTTTAGGGTTTTTTTTTTTGACACCTTTTTCCAACTGCATACAGTCAGAGAGCCCACAGGGGGCAGGCAGGTTAGCAAACCCTCTCAGTCATCTTCGTCCGGTGGTTCTCATCGGTCGCTCGTCATTCCGCTTCCCGGTGTTCACTTCCATCTCTGCGCTCACTGTCACTGTTCGAGCGCGTGACCCCTCTCCCAAGTGCGTTTGTCACATCCTCCTCCTGCTGCATCGGCGGAACCTGCATCACCAGGTCGCCCGTCGCACCATCCACAAGGATGCCATCCGTAAGCATGTCCAAGTCGGCCGGGCTCACCACCACCCAAAGTGCCATCCGCACCCTCCATGACGGTCTCAGCCACATGCGACCCAGACAGCACCGCCTCCCCCGTAGGTTCAAGAGCACCATCGGTCACCAGAGTGGAGACCCCCGATCCAGTCGCCACAACTCGACTCGTCCCTGGCGACGGGACCATAATCGTCTCAACGTGCTCCGGGTCTCTTTCCAGGACCTGCTCGACCTGGAGGGTGACCCTCACTGGCTCAGCTCCCGGCTCCGACAAGGGAAACCTCCACGATCGACTCACACCCTGCTGGTCGCGCAACTGAGAGGTCTCCACCACCATGTAAAGGCGACGCCGAAGGGGGCCAGCCTGTCCACTGTCTGGAACCCGGTTCATCTCGTCGTGCATAGCCCAATCATCCCAATCTCGAGCCCGCTTGCTTTCATAGGCCTCCCATGCACGACGATCTTCAGCAACAGCCGCAGCCAGCTCCTCCTCATGGCGTGCCTGCATGTCAGCCATGGCTTGACCATCACGTTGATCAGCGTCTCGCTCCTCGGCCTCGCTCTGCAGCAGTCTGTCAACGGCGCTCTCCTCACTGGGGTCCGTGGTGCCACTGTCGACCATTTCTACCACAGACGGGCCATTCGAACTGCTGCCCAGCTGCGGGTCCCTTTCGCGAGACCTCAAGAGCTGATCCCACCACGTCTGTGCCCAGGCCTCCACAGCCGGCCGTTGGGCTGAAACTCCACAGGCCGCTTCGTTCTCGCCCGCCTGGATTACCACCACCAGTAAGGCTTCCACCGCATCGAAGAGGTCATCCTGTGCCCATACTGGCCCTCTGTGAAGCCGTAGCCGGCGTCGCAAGGCTTCCGCCTGAACACGTGCAATGCCGGGGGCTCGATGCAGCGCTGCCTGGATCCGGACGGGGAGGTCCTGCATCGTACCCTGCTTCTGCATGAGGAACGTCACGTCCTGCTCCCACATGCCCAGCTGCACCAGGCTGTGCCCATCACCTTCCGCATCTGCGCCATCTTCGCCATCAGCATTCCTGCGAACATCGTTAGGCCCATTTTCCACATCATCATCTCCATCTAGCTCCACCTCCACCATCGACGCGAGATGTGACAGCTCGCCGATCTCCGACATCAGTGACCGGATAACCGTGATGAAAGCCACTGTCATCAGCTGCTGCTGCTCCAGCGTATATCCTCTGAAGACATCAATCATGTAGCTCCGGCGGTCATCTGGCAGCAGCGGCGCCCCCTGCGCGGTTGTCGAGAGGTCACCCAGCAGCGTACGATCCATGCCAAGCAAGTAGCGCCAGAGGTCAACGCCTTCATCATGGTCCCCGGGGCCTCTGGCAATGCGGGCGCGGTGACGCGCATCCCGTGTAGCTTCTTCATCCTGGTGAACCCTCGGTGTCTGCCAGAACCATGGCCTAGGCTTCCGCGGTCTGTTCCGGCCAATGCTGCACGCCCCCAGGTCGACAGTCTCATGTGTCACAGTCTCCGTCCTCCTACACCCCTCGTCGAGCCGGAAGCACGCTCCTCACCTTCTCCCCGCCGTGGCGGCCGCCCACCCCGATCACGAGCAGCATCCGCATTCCCACGGTCAGTGCGCCGGGGGCTCCGGGATCCTCGCCTGGTAGAGGAAGTGCCTTTGGAGCCAGCCATCAGACTGACCGCATCATCTTGGTCTTTGGGCTCGCTTTCACCTTCACCTTCAGCAGGCTCGCCTTCCGCAGGACCAGCGTCTCCCGTCCCATTGGACCCACACCCCGGCGACCCTGGAGGCGACTTCAACGGCGAGTAGCACACCGGTTGCGGTGTCCATAGAGGCCCCGGCACGCGGGCTCCATCCGGCTGCATCGGGTGCATCGGCTCCACAGCCGACGCAAGGCCCGCTTCTGTTTGCATCTGGTCCAGTAACACGACCCATTGTTCCGTAACTTCGGCCAGCTCGCAGAGCTCCAGATTCACAGCCGGGACCATCCCAGACCGCCCGAGTCTGCTGCGTGAAGTACTCCAAGAATGCCGCGCCCCTGTCCTGCACAGCCTTCTTCACATAGTCCCGAATCGAGCCCGTACGCGGCCACCGAGAAAGAGCCGCCCGGAGCGCCCACAGCTTGCGAGCAACATCCGGGGATACCGTAGTACTCGGTCTGGGAGCACTGCCTGTCGCCTGCATGAAGGAAACAAAGTCCCAAGCTCCCTGCTCTAGCATGTCAGGTCCCAACCGCTGAGGCATGCGACACTCCGCCAGCCCACCCCAGGAAGTCCCCATAGAAACCCTGGTCGAACAATGCCTCGAAGCAATCCCGAATCACTGCCGGCATGGGCTTCCGGGGGAACTGGAACCGCCGAGCTCGCCGAGGCAATCCACGTTCGTGCCCATGTTCCCGCGCGGAGTCCCCATAGAAACCCTGGTCGAGCATTGCCTCGAAGTAATCCGGAATCACTGCCGGCACGGGCTCCCGGGGGAACTGGAACCGCCGAGCTCGCTGAGGTAGTTCACATTCGTGCCCACGTGACCGCGCGGAGTCCCCATAGAAACCCTGGTCGAGCATTGCCTCGAAGTAATCCCGAATC